AAATTCCAGTGAAATATATTTATGTTTGTGGTTGTAATGTGACAAAATATGGAAAAGTTCAAGGGGTATGAATACTTTTGCAAACCACTGTATTTAACCAGTCATACATGTTCAAACACTTGCAATGTAATGTAACTTTAAAAAAAGGTACCACTTTATAACATCTCCCTTTATAGATGGATTTTAAAGGGTTTATGGATAGGTTATTAATTTCAAGAGAAGAAGAATTCTGTACGCTTGATTCATTCTGGACATAACTATTTGACTCATTAGCACAGCTAGTGTTTGAACATGGAACTGCATCCACCATCATCACTACCAAGTAAAGGACAGATGAGTGACAGGACAGGGGCAAGTCAGGGGCCTATCAGATTTCAGCTGGGGCCAATGCCCCTGTGGCCCCGCCCCTAGAACCGCCCCTGAAGGAGATATTCCAGCCATGTGTGGTGTMTTAAGAGTGTAGGGCCAACAAAAGGTTAAATTCAACCTACAAAAGCATAATATGCAGATAGAAAGGTGCATATCACTAACTTTATYTCATCAAAACTTTAAAATAAAATTTTCAATCAAACACATTCATGATTTGGCAGTATCTGCTGAAAGTAGATATTATTCAGTTAATGTCAGGCAGAAATGTATTCATATCCTACTTAAAGGACAAGGATGTTCTTGAGAGTCACATTACTAGAAAGGATTTATGTCCACAGAATACTTACTTTATTCATGAGAGAGAAATACAGAAAGTTTTAGAAATTTTTTTTTGTGCACCAACAATCTTTTTTTTTGAAACCGAGAAAAATCCCCAACAACCTTCTGCGCTCTTATGTAATAAGATATTTTCGGCTTTGCACAAATCAATCTGCTCCCTGCAAACCTTCTGGTATGGATGAGCAACTCCAAGAGAACAATTATCCTTTAATCATAGTTCATTTGTCGAGAGTAAAGAGAATCTATATGTATTAGCTGGTTTATTGGGAACATGTAAAAAAAAATTAGGTTACCCCTCAGCTACGGGTGCTTAAAAAGCTGAAGGAAAGCAAGAAAGGCGAGACGACAGAGCGAATGAGCGAACAGGGAAAGCTGTGAAGAAATCCCACGAGGTTGCATCTCCCCAGCATCTGAGCATAAAAATAGAAGACAGCTTTATTCCCAGAGCAGAGGGGATGAAAACAGAGGGGAAAGAACTGAAAGGAAGGGAAAAAGAGCAAAGTACGAGCGAGAATCCTCTCCTGAACAAGGACACCAAAAAAAAAAAAAAAAAACAGAGGAAAATGTCACTTTGAACAGAACTCYGCAAGACCTGCTAAAAACACAACTCTAGATACAATAAAAATTAAATAATGTTTGTGCATCAGTTGAGTAATTGTTTTGAACAAAAACGTGCTCCAACACACCTTGACTGAGATAAGAAGTCCAAAAACGGACTTTTCTTCTAATAATTTGTTTTAAATAGATCTTAAAAGTTAAATCAGGATAAAAATAAAAACTGCACATGTTTTGATTTAAGTTTTTTTTCCAGTGAGTAAAAGTGATACATAATGTATTAAAAAATGAAAATGC